AATATGGCAAGTAACTTGTACAATAGAGAGGTGAACTAGTTTTAAACATTCTGTATATAAAATTAATGTTAGAACAAAAGTTTCTCTTAAAGGGAAGTAAACCTAATTGATAATAGAGTTAGAAAAGAAGAAATTCTACCCACGCAAATTTTAACACAAGTATCAAAATTTAATCAGTTGATTTCGAAACTATTAGTAATGCTTGAGTAAGAAGTTCATTCACCCCTAGTCATATAAGATGATGAAGAACTGATAATTATATTTTCCCACAATACTATGAGTAGGGCTCACGTTTACACTGAATTTAACCTATTTTTACTCCCACAAAGTATTTTCATCCAGGGTGAAATGCAGTTTCGACCTCGCCCTTCCTGTGGGACTCGAACTCAGATGACTAAACTTATACAGGGCCAATGTCCGTTCTCACCTCGCACGCCCTAGAGAAACTAAAAGTTGAATTCATGATTTATTGATAATGAATAAACTCACGAAAATAACAAACATAAACGATTTTAATGATACAGTGCCAATTTAAGAGCTGTATTCAGCCTATTTCGTTTAAGGTATTAAAGGACTGGTAGTTAATTTTTTACGCTGATATGAGTAGACGTCCTGGTTACATTGGATTTAAAATAGCCTTAATCCTCAAAAAGTGTTCTTGTCAGGGGTGGAATGCAGTCTCGACCTCCTCTGGGTCTCATTAGCACTCACTGTGGGACTTAAACCCGGATAGTCAGCGTATAATTCCAACAAGTTAGCCACTACATCACGCTACAAAAAGTCACCTTTGTCACAAAGCAGATATGAATTCCAAGAAAGTCCAGGCCTTTTCCCATATTAATTTCCGCTATGGGATTTATGCTGAAAAAAAGTTGTATTTCCTATAGCAGTCGACTACCTTAATCATTTCTGTTCCCTTAGTTGGTTTTCGAGATGAACAGTAAATATTTCGGCAAGCCCACCACAGAAATTTGATATGGGAAAAGCTTAGGCCTACTTGAAATTCACTTCTGTCCCGTGGCCCAGAGATACTCGTGGTATTGTGACGTGGTTTTCAATGTATCAAGAAAATATGCTGAGTTGCCCGGGTTTGAGTCCCGATGGGGTGATGATGAGTCCTATGCAAGGTCGAAACTTTACTCAACTTTGGATGATAACACCTTTTGATGAGTAGGGCTATGCGAAATTAAATGAGAACATGAGGCCTACTCATATAATTCTGGAAAAATTATATTACCAGTCCTTCGTCACCTTAAGCAAAATAGGGTGGGGTATCTCTTATATAAGATCTAATGGAAGTTTATAAAAGAACTTATAAAAGGGAAAACAATTAGGGTAGTTGACTGTTATAGCAAATTTTACTTTGTTTAATCCACATTCCCATCTTAGAATGTGATCTGGAAAAGGCCTGGCTTTCCTTGAAATTTACGTCTACCCAGAGGCACTCTAGACAGTACGGCCTAAGTGGTAACCTAACGATATTTCCAGGTCTGAGAACCGCTAGGAGTTCTGAAGAGGCGAGGTAGAAACAGCAATTCACACTTGATGAGAATAACTCCTGAGAAGAAAGGTCGATTTAAATTCATTTGCAGCATGAGGCCTGCACGAATCATTGCGGAACGATTTAACTTCCAGTCTTTGAACAACTTATGCAACTTAGGAAGGGGGTAACTCTTATCATTTGCTATGTCTAAATCTAGGTTGAGAAGCTAGCTGTCTTTGCTGGAACACATGCTGCAGAATTGCTAGTAGTAACATTTTGATGCATTTAGTAGAGATGTTCGTCCTGCTCAAATTGAGCAGTCATTCTGTCTAGTTTGAGAGGTTGGGTCTTGACCACAAAGGTAGGAGTTCGTCATTCAGAAAATACACGTTTCTGGTGTGAATATTCGCCTATTCATTCATCGAGCTTTTGTAAAAATGTCAGCTTTTACCTTATTCAAAAGTTGACCTTATTTCAATGAATATTGAGAGAGTATCAAGTTTATGAGATGATCTGAATTGCTTGATCAATCCTAATTTCCTTAAATTTTGCCTTCATAATTTGACAGAGGTGGAATTAGTTTTTTCATTTACTCATACATTATTTATTTAAAAACAAAAAGATTAAACCTCCTGGTAACGTTAATTCATAAACCATAAGAACAAACTACTTTGAAAAATGATCACAATGCAATTTGGTTGGCCGGTTAAATTTCATTTTCTATCAAACTTAATCAAAAACCATGGCTCCAAACATCGAAATGTCAGCATTTTCCCTCTGAAAACTCATCTTTTTGTGTAAACAAACAAAGCTAGTTTTAGCAATAAGCCTACCTGTAGAATTATTTTATAGATTAACTCTTATGTCTTGGACATTTGTTCAGTCAGCCTGACTGAGGTCACAACTGTCCAATGAAATAGCCATTCCTCGTAACCTCATTTCTGATTCCCCCATTTGTGTTTCTCAAGGCTGATTGGCCTGTACCAATTATCGCAGCCCAGGATTAGCATATCTATACTGGGATTGCCTGATTGGTTACCTTCGCGACAGGACATTGGCCGGAAAAATTGGTCATAGGAAAGTCAGAAGAAATATGTATTCACCCTATCGACAAGATGGGATCATAAGCTTGAATGATTCTAGTAGCTAACCTGTATCGCTCTTTTTGCAAGTTGTCTTTCTTCTATCTCTAGTTCTAATTTAGCTCTAACTGCTTGTGGACTTTCATCCTTTTTACTAATGCCGGTATCGATCATGGTCTAATTAGCGAATTATTTGTGCTTTTAAAACTATTTATCCACAATTGGTATCGCTCTTTATTGTGTCAAGCTAAAGTATACTCGGATCTTGCCTCAGTCTGGGCTAGCATCATCCTGAGAGGTGACTTTTCATGAGATAACTCAGCAGCATGCCTAACAGGCCGCGCGAAGGCTACAGATATTCACTCTCTGACACATCAAAACCATCCACACGTAGCACATCCACCTTCGTCAAGCTGTCCGGCCAGCCGAATGCACACCGATTAGGAAAGGACTCCTTTTATGTGCTGATGGACATTGGCGAAAATCAGGCAGATTGTGATGCTCCACTGGCGCGACAGAAAGGTGGCAAAACTGTGTCAGGCGTTGGACCCAATGCATTTGGTGGCAACAATGGTTCCGGCATTCGGCTGAATAGCCAGGCTCAGTCAAGATTCTCCCACAATCGGCTTATCAGGAAGCGGCACATATCATTGCCAAGCGCTGGCATCCACCCTATCCTCGAGCCTTGTACTGCCGCCAGTTCAGGGTCTCGAATCGAGTCCGTCTCTGCGGCTTGTCAAGTGATGCCGGCCATTGGGCGGGGATCCCGTACCCAAGCCTCAAGACATTTCTCCTCAAGACCCTCGTCAAAGTGCAGTAGCAACGTGGAACCTTGCAGCACTGCCAGGCTTTCTGGAGGACTAAGAACAAACAGTCACTCCACCTCCACCCTGGCTTCAGCCATTACATCAATTCATGCGCCGAAGAGTGTTGCTCTTAGTGACTTAGTATCTATGGCAGGACGAGTCACGACAGCTGTCCCACCCTGTGAACTCATACCTGGTAGAGTGGAGACGGCCTCTGGTCCAGGAGAGTGGAGTTGCCTCACTTCTGGTCATTTACAAGACGGTCCAATTCTACACAAGTCGGATAAGTCTGTTGACAACCCATACCGCAAAGCCCAATCTGTACGCCAGCCGGCTGGTGTCGCAGCCGTAGAGCATGACAATGAACGCCTTAACCCGCCCAGTGATTCCGGTTGTCTGGCGTCTGGAAGAGCCAATTCCGAAATGCCCGATAATCTTGGTGACTTTGCCGAGGATAGCGTCAACAATGTGGCAATTGGCGTCGACAGTGAAACTGGACATAAGCACCTGCAATTCGGAGCCTCTGCATTTCTCATGATGAAGCTGAAACGCATCACACGCCGCATTCGTCATCACATGGTACAGACGGCGGTGCTGTCACACGATGACTGGTCGACTGCATTTCCGTTGGCCGCCTCTCGTGGCCTCCTCTTTTCTGACCTCTCTTCCGCCTCGTCACCCTATTCCCACTCCGTTCCGGGATTTTCAAGCATCGGCCATCTTAACATGTCTGCCACCAGTGCCACAGCATATCCAGCCCTCACTTCGGCCCATCGGACCAGCCGCCTCTCTTCAGCCTCTCTTCAGCAACCGTACGGCCACCTACACAACCTAGGCAACTACCAGAATTTAGCTGCAGTTGAGGCCTGTGTCCAGCAAGACCACACTGCCTCAAACCCTCAGACGAGCCTACCTTCTAGCCAGTCCATTTCAACTAGCATCAGTACCATCAGTAGCCGACAGTATTTTCCCCTGACAGACATCGTTTCTGGTACAGGCAGCAATGACAATGTTGGCTTAAGTGAGGATGTCTCTCCTTCAGTAGACGAACTGTCCTACACAGTCCAGCTGGAAATGACTGATCCACCCCTTGCTGGCATCTTCCACGACAACAACAGTAACGGTAACAACAACGGGACTACCAAGTCTGAGTTAATGAGTAACAGCACCACAGATGTCACCCAAGAGGGATCTTCCTCAAATAGGCTACCTCGCCGAGTCCAAAGGCCTAATAATTACAGAAAGCTTCGGCACAGTTTCTCCATTGAACAGGATGTTGTGTCTCCTAGATTTTATTCTTCACCTAGTCCTGTTGCCAAGGCAACTCGTCCACTCACCACTTCGCTGTTGGGGCCGTCCCGGAGCCTCGAGAAGCAGGCCAGTACATCCTCTACCCCTTTGACTGCCTACAAGATAGCCATAGACCCGGCCAAGTCGAGCGACGCTGCTGCAGCTTTTATAAAAGTGGCGAATCCTGGCTTCAGCCTTAAACCTGTCGGTAGACCGGTTGTGGGTCATGACAACCAGCAGGAATCAAGTTTGGCCGTGAATTCTGGCGAGCAAGGCAGATCAAGAATGCGTACGCTGCGTAAGCGTGTATCGTTTGAGGAGCATCATCCTCGTCTGTTGCTTATGCCGCCGACTGATGCCAGTGAAGCTGAAGTCTCTAGCTCTCACAACAAGCCACACTCCTTTGGACAGTTAAGTAAGCCAATGGGCAATAGTCCATCAAGCTCTGCGTCCGTGGAACTCGCAGAGCCTACCACGTCATGCAGACTGATGGGCTATTCTGCATCTTCTCCACCTGCCTTGACAACAGGCTATCTGCCCACATGCTCTTTATTGCAGAGAAAAAAGGAAAAAGGTCAACTTGTCAAATCTGGTTCCAAACTTGCCGGCCGCTCTGCTGCCCCCATTATGTGCATCACGTCTCCGTGTGGGATAGCATTTTCGAATCTTCCCAATGCCACATCGTTGTCACTAGAGCATGCCGCGAAAAAGGTGGATGACAAATCAGTCCTGGATGTGGAATACGATGAGCGTGGCCAAACATGGGAGGTGTATGGAGCCGAGGCCGATCCCGAGATACTGGGTCAGGCGATTCAGCACCATCTTGACCTCTTGATGCAGGCCAGGGCTACGAGATCAGTCAAAATGCTAGACGGAAAATCCCACCGAGCAAGTACCATCGACCACAGCCTATTGGTGGAGCAGGCAGATGCTACACCGACGCGACAATCTAGGGCGTTAGTTAAGGCTTGTCGACGTGACACAAGCCCCTCGGACGGTTCAGAGCTTGGATTAGTCGCGAGTGAAATGACTCGGATTCGGAAGTCCCGTTATCCACGCCAGCAGTCGGTGGGACGTTGTCACTCTGCTGGGGACGTTAAGCTACTCGAGCAGGGCTTGTTGGCAGATGGAAGCGGAGAAGGCGTATCCGAAGATGCTGAGGCCCGCGTTGGCTCCAACCTGAAACGTTTGCTGGAAAGGGTATTCAGGCCAGCGTGGAGGCGCCGTCTGACCCGTCAGGATCGTCTCGTGTCAGAGCAGACGAGTATCGAAACTGTAGGGCCGCAAGACCAAGTGCACTTGGATGTGGAGCCACAGTCTGGCGACCATGAGGACGTGGTCCGGCCTTCCAGGCGGAAGCAAGACAGGCATCAACAAACGAAATGTCAAGTGAAAGAACAAATCTCCAAAGTTGCTGATGATGCTGGCCTACTTCTAAGAGAGCACCACAGTGATGAAGTGGGGCTTCAGGAGGAAAGCTCAAGTATCGAGGCAGAGAAGAGCTTACAGATTTATGGTAGCAAATTGGACGGTATTTTTTTCGAAAATATTTGCCGGGAAAAAATTCCTTGTCCCTCAAACTCCATAGGCCCAGCTGCGGCTCAGGCGACTAGATCGGAAATACAACAAAGAGTCTGCTGTCTCGTGCAACCTTAACATCTGTTGTGCATCTGTCTCGGTCACCCTTACCGTTTATATTTAGCGATATTGTGTCAACGAGTGCACTGAGCACCTAAGTCTAAGGGATAGAAACATCCGGCCTGGCAGGACGCAGGCCGTCCCGCAGTGGGAGTAAGAAGGAAATGGAATTTCCTCACTGTTCCAAAACTGTGCCAAACTGAAATTCCGTCTGGGCTTTATCAAATGATATGAGTTGTCCTATCAAATCAATTTTTTTACATGGTTGATAGGACATGCATCAGATACGGAGATAGACAAACTAGTATACACATTGAACCTAGTTGACCTGGTTGTATTAATTTTTTTCGGCCAGTATTTTTAAAGTATGACTATGTATCTTAACGAACAAATTGCTATACAAGTACTTATTTTGATTACGCTTAGAAATTTAATTTAAATCATTTCAGTTGAAATTGTATCATCTAATGTCTTTCCTCACCCGACTAAATCCATTTCAGTTTTTCGGCCTACATTTGATGACAAGCAAACATTTCCATCGTATTGAGCAATTCGTGACTTTAAGTACTTTTGGCACTTGTAACTATTTGCCTTGCTGTCAAGGCTTTAGATGTTTCTATTGAGAATTATTGTATGATTACATTTCTAAATTTACATTGTCAATTTGCTTTACACAACAATCATCTATTGCACATTCATCAGTTGTCTTTCTTCTAACTCTATCTCTAATTTAGCTCTAACTGCTTGTGGACTTTCATCCTTTTTTACTAATGGTTTAATTAACGAATTATTTGTGCTTTCAAACTATTTATCCACAAGTTGTATCGCTCTTTATTGTGTCAAGATAAAGTATACTCGGATCTTGCCTCAGTCTGGGCTAGCATCATCCTGAGAGGTGACTTTTCATGAGATAACTCAACAGCATGCCTAACAGGCCGGGCGAAGGCTACAAATATTCACTCTCTGACACATCAAAACCATCCACACGTAGCACATCCATCTTCGTCAAGCTGTCCGGCCAGCCGAATGCACACCGATTAGGAAAGGACTCCTTTTACGTGCTGATGGACATTGGCGAAAATCAGGCAGATTGTGATGTTCCACTGGCTCGACAGAAAGGTGGCAAAACTGTGTCAGGCGTTGGACCCAATACATTTGGTGGCAACAAAGGTCCCGGAATCAGGCTCACTCAAGATTCTCCCACAATCGGCTTATCAGGAAGCGGCATATATCATTGTCAAGCGCTGATATCCACCCTAACCTCGAGCCCTGTAATGACGACAGTTCAGGGTCCCGAATCGTATTCGACTCTGCGGCTTGTCAAGTGATGCCGGCCATTGGGCTGGGATCACGTACTCAAGCCTCAAGACAGTTGTCCTCAAGACCCTCCTCATATAAATTAGGCGATAATTGCTGCCACTACTAATTGCCAAATTAAGGCGAGTATGGCAAGCACTCATTTTACTGGTGATTCATAAACGATGTATTTATTGTATTTGACTTATTTTATATTAGAACTCATTTAGAGTCTAATTTTTATTCATTTCGGATGTTCCAAAAATTTTTCATTATGCATCACCCGGTTGTCCGTTAAACAAATTATTGAAACATAAAGTGTCTCATTAAATCACTTGTCTACTTGATATGAAATATATCCCTTGATGTTTTTGCTCTGATATGTCTACTTTTCCTTCTCAACCTATTCTAGTCCGATCAAAGGTTTGGGATGGGGGAAAGATTATTCTCGTCCACACCTGGCTATATGCGTATTTACCTTAAAATCACTTAGAGATTGAACATAAATCAGTTTGTTCGTCACATCTTTCTCGATTTTTAGTCATTTTTTTTCTGTTATAACTATCACCAGAAGGCAATATAAACAGTTTGTTGGAATTTGCTTGCCTTGTCGTCATGACGGAAGCTTGAGTACTAAGTTGTTCTTTTTAAAACCTTTAACTAGTTAACTTTGGCTGGCTAAACTTGCATCTTAGTAGCTTTTTTTATACCGTTACAACTTACTAACAGTGCATATAAGTGCATATAAGAAGCTGAAAATAACTGCAAGCCTTATAACGTTCAAACACCAAATGCAAAGCAAAGCAAATTTTGAATTATTGCAAAATGTCTGATTAGGTATTATAAATAAGAAGTGTTCGCCCTATTTAGTTTAAAGTGATGAAGTACTGGTAGTTAAAAACATCTCATATATCTGATTTGATGGTATTCTCGAAACCCTACCTACAAACGAAAAATTAATTTTTATAGCCAGTATTTCTGTTAGAATCTCCACTATTCTTAATGTGCTTTGGCCTAAACTTCGCAGATAAAATTACTCAGTTTGCCAGAACTCATACATTTAGGCTTGCAAGAAGAAAACCGCTTATTGGCTAATCAATGCTTAAGCATTGCTACCAAAGGAGCTGAATTTCCGAGTAAAAGCCACTTATTGCTTGTAACTAAGACAGCATTTCTATTTTCAGGTAATTTGATAGTAAGTAATTGCCTTAATAGACTGAAGTGTTAGTAGAAAAAATCGTAAAGATTTATAACATTTTACTTTATATAAGTCAAGAATATGTAATCCACCTGGCTGAAAAGTTCCACAGTTTAAGGTGTATTTTACTTAATTTGCTATTTTTCTTTGCATATGGGGATCGTCGAAGAATGTAACCTGTGCCTCTTACTATACAGAACCTTATTGAGTCCTTATACCAACTACCTCAAATTAGGACCCATTAAAATGAAAATAACTTGAAAATATTTTTTATTTTTAAGAATT